CATATGACCCACATAACATAGGTCACAAAGTGCTTAGAAGTCTCCTCTCCAGATGTACCCAACAGGTGAAGGTCACTCTCCTATCCCAATGGCTCAACATGATAGTCATTGCTTGATGTTCTAATATTGCAGCACTGGAATTGTGGTATCACCATTTAATAGTATATGTGTCACCTTTTTGATCATTGTATGTATATTCCCCTAGGGCAGTTGGTAGATTTATTTGGCAGTGTTCTATCATCTGGAGTGATGTGGGAACACATACAAGGTGTCAGAGGCAGCTAAAATACTTTGGGTGATAGATACTGGTGTGTGGGAGTAGCTGGAATTGGCAACGCAGTAATAGTCTTATACCCAGGGGCGGACTGACCATTTGGGGCCCGGGGTCAATAGGGGGCCCCATGAGCTGCCCCTGGTACCTTTTTCATAGGCTTTTTTGAGTTTGGGCAAGGACACAGGGGCCCCATGATCCCCTATTGCCCGGGGGCCACATGAGTTGTCAGTCTGCCCCTGCTTACACCTCAACAAGATTACCCCTCTATTTCTGTTCAAGTAATAACTCAAAATTTAAAATTTTCCCGGAATTTTAGTTTTGGAGACCATTAAAAGGGTGAATCTCTCCAGCAGGCACACAGACAGCAGTGACATGAGAGATCCAAATCCTTCAAAAACAAAAAAATAGGAAAAACGTTTTCAAATTGATGCTATTTAACAGGGCAGGAACAGGAATCATTCAAATCGGCACTCAGCAACATGTAGCCTGCAGAGCTATTTGTATGTTATTACTACTGACCTGCAGGCAGACAACACAGAGAAAGTAAATGGGTACACACTGACTGTATGGACTCATCCACATAGTGTACAGGGGCAGGTGCATGGACGCGGATGCACAGGCTCTACATTCAGGTCCACACACCCATCCCTGTGTTTCTGTGTGGGTGAAGCTGGGTATACATGGGTCAGTTGGCTGACCAAAAAAAAAAAAAACTGAACAGATTCCCCCTTCCACAGAGGCAAGCTGGACAGAGATATCGTCCCTGTTCTGTTATTGTATTCTGACATCAGGAACTTCTCCACTGTTAGAATACACCGATCAGCGCTGCAGCCTATTGCCTTCAGTATGGATCGAACCAAGATGGAAACTGACTGCTGGAAAACGTAGGTTAAAAAACTTATGTTAAGCCGAGTTAGAAACTTTTTTAAAGATAACCTCAGGAGACCTTCCAAAATTCCAAGAATGTACTGAAAAACAGTAAAACATGAACTATTTCAGACATTTTAAAAGAAATAGAGAGAGCAGAAGCAGAGAGTGCATTATTTGTTGAGATTAGCTGTCTTTTTTTTTTTGTGGTGTTTGGATGTGTTCCAGCTCATTTCTGTGCAGAAATTATTGCAGCAGTGTCTAACATTTTTTTTTTCATGCAAAACCTCAAAGTATGGTGCACCAGGTCCATTTGAGTACCGGGAAAACGCTTTGCATGCATTGTTCATGATGAAAAAAGGCTCTGGACAGCATCTGGAAATGGAAGAGTTAAAAAAAATTTCCAAACGCTTATAAACGCGGTTAGAAGCGTTTGGCACGCTGATAAAATCTACTCCTGAACGCAAGTTTGGTGTGTTCAAAAAAAAAAAAAAACGACTGTAAACTCAACTGCCTGTAAACGACATGGACACATAGCAACATTAGGGAGAGTTCAGGGGCTGCTGAAAAAAAAAACGCAGAAAAGCTCCTAAACGTCAGTTTCTCAGCTGCAGTGTACATGGAGCCTTAAACTCAAAAGCAACAAAAATTATATTGCAGCTTACCAATTCCTACATCTGATTGCTGCATTTTCTTTTTTTCAGGCTTTCTTTAATTGCATTTGGCGATCCAGCCAGTAAGTCTGTTGTTTTTCAAAAGAACAAGCACTCCAGCAGAATGAATCGGTTTACAGGGATGAGACAAACCAGCAACATAACACTAGCAGGGATGCTTACAATGATCCATAAAGGGAAAAAATGGTTTGCTGTAACTACTTATACAGTATTAGCTGGAGTCTGGCTTCATTTTGTTGGTGTATCTAAACCTACTAGTACATTTAACACCCCCCTTCCCCTAGACTGACAATGCTGCTGTCCAAATGTGTCTGTGTGTTCCTTCATCCAGAGTGGTGTTAGTATAATACTGGAGGTATGTTACTGGCCAGATCAGCAGGTGAAAAAAGACTAATAAAAGAAAACGAATGCAGCCACCACATCAAATGATTGGAAAATTGCAATATATTATGTTTTGTGTTTAATACCGCTTTAAGCCTGTACAGCCAGTGTGTACCTATTCACTTTCTGTGGGTTGTTAAGTGGTAGTAGAAAAAGAAAAAAAAGTAAATAAAACAGTGTTGCAGAGGGCTGAGCACCTATGTGAATGAGCTCTTATGTGTCAGTTCAGAAACAGTGTATCAAATCATCAACCACTGATGGCCTTAAACCACATGTTCTTGAATTAGCTGAACAGTTTAGATCATCATATATCATATGGAGAGTGTTACTTTTATTTTCCTTTATCTCTGTTTCATAATACGCTTTGATCACATTTATATCGTTTTTGTTATAATAATAAATGAAGATGAATTAAACATTATCAACTATATGTTGTTTAAGTTCTTTTGTTCGGTTGCATCATTTTATGTATACAGTGCACAATGGAATTTGCAGGTGATTAACAACTATTTCTGCATCCTCAGGCTCATGACCTCAGACAGGGAACCACATTCATTTTTGTGAAGACCTCAGATTATTAGCTATTAGAGTAAGGCTGGCCATACATTATAAAATTTTCTTGAGATTTTTGGTTTAGATTTACCAAAAACCATATAATACAAGGTCAAACCTAACAACACTTTCAATTATATCCAATTAGGCAGGCTCTTGTACTACATAGTTGAAGGTAAATCTAAAGGAAATTGGGCAGAAAAATGTATAGTGTATGGCCAGCCTTAAGCCATTAAAGAATGGGCAGCACAGTGCCTAAATGGTTAGCACTTCCACCTGGCAGTACTAGGGTCCCTTGGTTTGAATCCCAGCCACGGCACCTCCTGCCTGGAGTTTGCATGTTCTCCCTGTGCCTGCGTGGGTTCCTTCCGGGTACTCCGGTTTCCTCCCACACTCCAAAGACATGCTGGAAGGTTAATTGGCTCCTGTCTAAATTGGCCCTAGTATATGTATGTATGACTGTAAGTTAGGGAACTCAGATTGTACGCCCCTTGAGGGTTAGGGACTGATGTGAATGTACAATATATACAGTGGGGATCGAACGTTTGGGCACCCCAGCTAAAAATTTGTATTAATGTGCATAAAGAAGCCAAGGAAAGATGGAAAAATCTCCAAAAGGCATCAAATTACAGATTAGACATTCTTATAATATGTCAACAAAAGTTAGATTTTATTTCCATCGTTTACACTTTCAAAATAACACAAAACAAAAAAATGGCGTCTGCAAAAGTTTGGGCACCCTGCAGAATTTATAGCATGCACTGCCCCCTTTGCAAAGCTGAGACCTGCCAGTGTCATGGATTGTTCTCAGTCATCGTCTGGGAAGACCAGGTGATGTCAATCTCAAAGGTTTTAAATGCCCAGACTCATCTGACCTTGCCCCAACAATCAGCACCATGGGTTCTTCTAAGCAGTTGTCTAGAAAACTGAAAATAGTTGATGGTGCCCAAACTTTCGATCCCCACTGTATGTGTAAAGCGCTGCTTAAATTGATGGCGCTATAGAAGTACCTGAAGTAAATAAATAAAGATCAATGTTACTGCTGGCTGGAGCAATTAGTCCTCTACGAGGCAGGACAGGTCGAGCTCTTCATTTTATTTATTTTATTCATTCTTCATAGGAATATCCAAAAAAACAATGTAAACCGATCACAACAGTAGCTTTCCCAGTTACAGCCAAGGCAAGGTTGGAGGTTCAGGCATCTGTGAATACTTGGGATTAAATTCTACTTCACGTTAACAGAAATGGAAAAATCCCATTTGCAGTAGAACTTTTTTTTTCTGTTGTATTTGTAATATGTACACTATATACTGTATGTAAAGTGCTGCGTAAATTGACGGCGCTATATAAGTAGCTAAAATAAATAAAAGATACATGACGTGGATTGCAAAAGGCTCTCAATGAAGCAAATAGCAAACTGCTGGCTTCACCATTGCAGGTGGAGTGTGCATATAGAGAGAATACGAGAAAGGAGAGCCTGGATTTAAATGGTAGCAGCAACCAGTGAAATGCATCAGGCTTTCCAGCTTGTGCCCTGCTGTAACCAGAAGCTACAGTAATGTACAGTATAATTAGATTCTGTGTTTATAATACTGTTATATAAGGGTCTTCTGGAATGCTTCCTCATGAATCAATAATGAATGTTAATGCAGCAGTTATTTTGCCAATAGAGCCTGGGAACAAAAAACAATTATAGCGGTCATATTTTTAGCGCACAGAACTTAACAGGTTTATTGCTCCTCTTTTTTTGATTTTTCTAAGTGTGCTATGGTGGGTATTGCTAAAAGGGGAAGTTCCGCTTTAAAGACTGATCCCACCGCTCCTCATTAACCACTTCCAGACCGGACACTTTTACCCCCTTCCTGACCAGGGCAATTTTCAGCTTTCAGCGCTATCACACTTTGAATTACAATTGCGCAGTCATGCAACACTGTACCCAAATTAATTTGTTACCATTTTTTTTTAGACAGATAAAGCATTATTTTGGTAGTATTTATTCACCACTGGGATTTTTATTTTTTTTGCTATGTAAATGAAAAAGTCCAAAAATTTTGAAAAAAAGTTTTTTTTAATAAAATTTTGCAAATAAATAATATTTCATCATAAATCTTGGCCAAAATTTATTCCGTTATCTTTTTAGTAAAAAAAAAATCCAAATTAGTTTATAACCAAAAAATATAAATTTTAAACATTTTATTTTTACATTTATTTTATTTTTTTATATTATTTTTTTTTACATACTGTCACCCTAGCAGTACAGTTTCACCATGGTGACGCTATACTACTTGTGGGGGGTGAAGATTTTTTTTCATTACACTGATTGCTTTTACACCCATATAGGATGTAAAAGCAATCATTTCTCATTCTTGCAGTCATCATTGAAAAGTACTGAGTGAGCTGTGATTGGTCACAGCTTGTCACATGGTACAAGGCTGTTGTGAATAGCCTTGCACCATGTGACCTCTGATCATTCAGATTTCACACGTAGTAAGCAATAATGTCACAAGTGACATCTTGCTTACTACTTTGCATGTGATCACTGATTGGCCAATCAGTGATCACATGATCGGGACCTCGTACAGAGGTCCCATCCAACGATCAGTGTTTCACTGTGTCCGGCGGACACAGGATCACGGTGCTGCGCGCTCCCAGGGAGCGCGCACAAGCAGGGTGCGGGGAGGCCGTTTATAAACGGCCACCCGACCCTGCACTGCCACTGGCCGGCCATTTATATACAACAGCCGGTCGGGAAGTGGTTAAGGATTGGCACCTTTGGGGAGCAGGTACTTGAAATTGACAGATACCCGCTCCCACTTCCACTGCGATCGCTTAGGCCACGGGTGTCAAACTGGCGGCTCTCCAGCTGTTGCCAAACTATAAGTCCCATGAGGCATTACAAGATTGACAGTTACAAGCATGACTCCCAAAGGCAGAGGCATGATGGGACTTGTAGTTTGGCAACAGCTGGAGGGCCACCAGTTTGAGACCCCTGGCCTAGGTGATCGGCAGTGGAAGTTATCGTCCTACCCTCCCTCCCTGCAGTCTTCCGGGACACATGACAGGTCCCAGAACACTACGGGGCCATTCAGGAAGCACAGCGCTACTCGCGCATGCGCAGTGGGCACCCGGCTATGAAGCTGCAAGCTGTCACAGCCGGGTGCCCACACTAAAGATGCCGGTGCCTGGAACACAGAACGGCTGCTAAAATGGGCTGCAGGAAGGATCGTGGGACAGGTGATTGGCTGTTTTTTTTTTTTAAAAGTCAGCAGCTATAGTTTTTTGTAGCTGCTGACTTATTTTTATACCTTGTGAACGGAACTCAGCTTTAAAGAGAAACTATAATGGTTTTGGGTCAATTTTATTTGATCTTGTTTTACTCTATAAACTGATTTTTTTTTAATATCTTTTTACCAGATAAATCTTTGTTTTACAAAGCAAACATCAAGGATTCCAAGAGCACTATGGGTTTCCTAAAAAAAAAAAAAAAAATTTAAACAGCACCGCAGAAGCATCCTTACCTTATGGTTGGCTTAAAGTGGTAATAAAACGCAAAAGCAAACATTTTCCTTTTTTTAGGCTCTCTCTTTTCATCTGGTGATCCACCCAGCAAGGTTTTTTTTTTTTTTCTTATCAAAAGCACAAGCTCTCCAGCAGAATGTAACAGTTTACATGGTGAAACCATTGACCACTAGCAGGGGTGATTAAAATGACCAGCTTTTGTTCACGTAAAACCTATATCCCAAAAGGAAACAAAAAACTTTTTGCTGTAACGGATTATAAAGAGGTGTGCTACTGCTCAGATCACCAGGTGAAAACAGGAGGAGAAAAGCCTAAAAAAGGAAATGAATGCAGCCACTTGGGTCTATTTAAAGGGTCATTATGAATTTGGCCTCGTCAACCACTGCATTTACTTTTTAACTTGTTTCCAGAACCCAAATCGGACTAGAAAAACTGTTTTTGCTTAAAACAGATTCCAGATAAATTCCAAAATCTCTCATTTATACTATGTTCTACGTCTAAACACAAACCTGACACTGACCACTCTTTCTGTCAGGCTCTAATGCAGATGTGGTTTCAGCAAGATCTGCACAGAGAATTCCTGTTATCTTACGTTGACATTTATTGAATACTGTGCAGTCTCCAAAGGTCTTCAGAGACTATTTCCTGCTCAACTGCAGTTACCGTAATAAAGGCCTGGTGCACAAAAATATACCATCCTAATGTTTAGTAAAATCAGTCTTCCAGAAAAAAATTAAGCTTAACATCTTTAAAACTGCAGTAACATTTTTGTACGGGATTGTAGTCATTTCAGAAAACCAGAAAATGCATTCACTGAAAAAACAAATCTATCATTTAATGGACTTTAAAACCGAATCACAGTGGATCTGAGCACCAAGCAATTTAATTTATTTTAAATATTGAAAGCAAACTCCCCCATCGATCCATGTCTCCATGCATTATTTTGATGAGAAATCACTTTGAAAAGCACACCCTAGCACTTCTAGCTGTGGCCATCTTGAAAAAGGGCAGATGATTTATGTAGCATTTAATTCCTGGAGTCCATCTGCCCTTAGCTCAGGCATGCAGGCAGGAAGGTGTGTGTAGCTGAGAAAACCCCTCCTAAAGACTCCTGGGATGTTTCACATGATATACCTAGGCCTAACAACCAGGAGGCAACTGAAGAAATGTAAAAAAAAAGATAAGTAAAGCAAGAAACTATGATATAGTTTTCTATTTAATAATCAGGAAAATAGTCAATATTGATTGAGAATGAGAAGTTCTGCTTTAAGAAGTTCAGAATTACAAAATACACATTTAATCAGGAGAAATTATTACAAGAATTGTCTGTGAAGGTTCTCATTTATCCAGGCCTTTGTATTGCCAGAAGTAGTAAGTCACATTCTACTGAACTTGTTCTGTAATGTTAAAGGAGAATCCCACCTCTTGCAAAAATAAATAAATAATAAATGCACCCATATTGCAAAAGCAAAAATGTACATCTATTTTTTTTTGCATTGGAGGTATGGACCGTCCATTACAGAGCTGGAGGAAGTATCAACGGACTACAAGTCTAGTGATATCAGCACAGTTGCAGATGGAAGTTGTCTCAGATCCCCATTTATGAATGACGTAGCTGTGCAAGCGGAAATCCTCCTCCAACTGATTAAGCTCATTACCCATCTGCTACCCCAACCCCCCATGTTTCTTTTCTCCTCCCTTCAAATGGCAGATACTCTAGGCATTTCTTACTTTGGAGCTCTGATGAACAGCATTTGAGGTGAAGAATCCTCTGCATATAAACGGAGGGAAGGCTCATCCTGGAGATTTGATACCCACCAAGTCTTTCAAGCAGTAGAATGAAGCCACAGGTAAGAGCTCTAGTTGTATGGGAGCCAGGGTCTTGAACCATCTGCTTAGTCCAGACAACAAGGGTCTGAGAAACATCCATAGAAACAACCACAAGTTGTATGGCTGGGCCTGCCAGGGAAAGGGGGTCTTAAAGAGGGCCAATAAACTTTTATCTACCTGAACACAGGATTATCCTCCACAGGGACTGTAAGCGTTTTGTGAAGATGGCTGGGTCCACTACAGGGACCATCCATTTTTTTGCATTAAGCTCTCCTCAATAGAATATTGCTGAGCAAAACCTTTTGGAAGAGCAAATAGCTTTTCAGGGTGAGGGCAATCACCATGCAGAATAGGCCGTAAGAGTAAGTGGATTTAAAGTCTTAGCAGACTTGGGTAGCTGTGGGGACCACATGCAGACATCTTGGGGTGAGCCGATTCAGGCTGCTCTAATCCTAAATGGAAACGTACAGCATCAATAAGGGCAGCAATGGTATCCTTTAGCATGTATGCAATTTCAGCTGAAGGAGACTCATCCTGATCCAATTCCTCAGAAGGTGGGGAAAGTGGTGATCTTCCTAGTCTAACTCAGGTAGTGTGCCTGCTAGCAAAGCAATGCCATAGATTAATCCAGGAGGGGAGAAGGGGTTCCCTTGTGTTCTGTTATTTATGACCTCCATAAAAGGCTGATATTCTGCCAATAAAATCCAATATTGTAGCAGAAAATTCCTCCCTAGATGAGAGGAAAGCTGGAGGACCAGCAGAGCACCCAGAGAGGACAGGGAATCAGACTGTAGACAGGTACTATGGCCCTGTAGAGATAGACTACCCCCCACGTTATGGGCCCAGTCTGAGCTAGAAAGGCCATCTGACCCATGTGATGTTTGGGGGTTACTTATTTCAAATGTAACCTACACAAGTGAGTCTATACCAGATTTGCCTTTTCAGAGCTTGTTGGCCCATTTTTATTGAAATGAAAGGAGGTGACAGTTCAAAGTATCTCTTGCAGGGGTTTCCACCATCAATACAATACAGTAATGTTTAGCCCCTTGGCTCTTTTTAACAGCAACAGTACTAAGGACTCATGCCTAAATCCTCCTGAACATCCCTGTGCTCATACACAAACACTGTACCTCCTTCAACACTCTTTTACTTGCAGCTCCCTGCTGCTCTAGCCCTCTAACTGGGGCCTCTGTCCTGTCCCAGACTTCACACCTCTGGCTGATCCCTTGCAACCCCAGACTCCTCAGGAGTCCCTAGTCCTTGGTGAAGGTGTGCTGGGTTCTTAGGGTAATCAGAACTATTAGTGTGCCAATGGTCTGCAAAACCTGTTCCAGACTGCCTTCTGCACGGTCACACCCCTTACTCGGAATGAGCTCAACATACTTGGGTTTAATTCAAGGCAGGTTTGCTGAAGATGGGTAAAGTTCAAGTGCTGAATCTGAACCCCCAAATGTCAAGAAAGTAATGGCTATGCTATAAGCTAATAGGCATGGCATTTTCAAACAAAGAGCACAGACTGGGCACTGCCCTGAGGAACATGTCTCAAAGCAAAACAACATTTAAAAAAAAAATCAGTTTGGTAGTGATTTTAATCACTCAAAAGCAGCAATTTTAATAATGCTTTAAAGTTGTAAATCTCAGACATGAAATATGAACAAAGCATATAGTGTGCTTGTCTCCGTGTCATTTCTCTCCGCTGCTTTGTTCCTCTATTTTCAGCATGTATCATGTCTGACAAGTTTTCCAAGAGACAAAGGGTGACAGGGAAGGGACCTCCAGCAGATGGACAGCCACAGCTCTGTTTCTGTGTGCTGTAAGGAGGGGGTGTGTCCTTTCCCTCCAATCAGCTCTCAGAGCTCTCCTCACTGAGCTCTGCAGAGTGTAATATCAGCTGTCCACCCCCTTTTTTCTCAATTTTGACACACATTTTAAATTCAGCACTTTGAATGGATGTAGAGAAGAGAAGACTGCAGATTGACATGTACAACTTATTTGGAGAATTTGTTTCATCTCCGTATATTACCTGAGGTCACCCACTTTAATTCGGTATATGTAAGCCTCCATTCACATGTAAGGCTCTATTCACACTATGGCATATAATATCGCGGGAAGAATTGCCACGATTCTGCGTGCAATTTGAA